TCAGTAAACCTGAACCATTTATTAAAAAAACATAAATAAAATAAAAACAAGAAATAAAAATTAATAACCATTTCAAAAAAAAAAAAAACATTTTATTCTAAAAATAAAATCGGAAATAAAAATGAAAAAATTAAAACTGAATTGACATGAAATTTAGAGGGAGTTATTTGATAGAGACATTATATATAATCTTTTAATAGATAACACGAATCACCAACTTACTGTATAGTGTACAGTGTATAGTGTATAGTGTGAATATATAAATTTAAAAACAAAAAAAGAAAATATAAGTTTCTCCAATATCGATGAAAGATTTGTTTTCTAACTTCCACAAATGTATCTAACACCCACAACCACCTCCTCCACAGCCACCGCCACACCCTCCGCCTCCACAACCGCCACCACCGACACACCCACTGCCGTGAAAACCGCCACCTCCACACCCACCACCGTGATGACGACGTTTCTTCTGAGGATTACCGGAGCCAAAATCGATGCAAGCAAATATGAGAACAAACATGATTGAAATGGACAAAACAAACACGCCAAGCATTAACATGAATCTTGCGGGGCCTTCATTTTGGCTTGTTTCGTTTAATGTTAGTTACTTTCAATGCATGTATTTAACATTTCTTTTATATATATAGTATTTTTTAGTAACACTTTATTTCTAATATTTACTATTATTTCAAAGGTCTCTTTGGACAAATATAGAACCGATTGTCATGAGAAAATATTACTCGTGTAAGAAAATAACAACACTTAGAACAATTTCAGACACCGCTTTGTGCTCGACTGTCAAAACAATGTAAAGTTTAATAAAGAAATCGCTTACGCTTAAGTTTGAATGCATAAGTTTCATTTTCAGCTAGCGTGGTGGGAACATATGCGTGTACTTTTGTTGACCAAATATAATTTCCACATTAACTGTATTGTGCTTGAAATCCTCACACCATTCTTGTACCATAATACGGCTCATTTGGTTGGTTCAAATTTCTTAGAAGGATAAAAAGAGGGGTAATTTTTGTTATTATTTGAATACTATCCCAATGTTTGTTAACTATGGTGTATCATTTTTAGTTTCAAATATATAATAATAATTTTTGTTATTTTATTTTTTAAGAAGAGATATATTAGTAGGCCATGTTCGCCAAAACCATTGGAAGGATAACACCTTTAGTACAATTATGGCCAAATTGTTTAGCAATAGCATGGGCCATATGGTTACCCGAAAGTTTAACAAAAGTAAATCGACATAGACTAAAATGACTTGCAACAGATAAACAATCCTCTATGTAAGCCCCAAATGAAAACGTGTAATTTGTTTTGTCCCGCCATCATCACCTGGATATTGTCACCTTCGATTAGAACCTTCTCCCATTCATTTCACAAGCTTTAGATACTGCTCGTAAGACGGCATGTGCCTCACCATTTACAGTCTGGGGACGCCCGTTGATCTTAAAAGCTCCCCACCATAGATTGTGTTAAATTTTAGGTTTAATTTCACTTATTGTCATCCTACTAATGCAAATACATAAGGCCAAGAAATTGCAATAAAATAACATATATTCTATTCTATATCTTAAATTTGTACATGTAAATTAATTTCAAATCTTATCTAATTAACGTCAACAATATGTAGACAGTTTAATTAATAATTAACTTCAGAGTTTAAATTCTGAACGAATCCTCATTTAAAGCATAACCATTGATGTCATTTGATGAGTGACACTTTGTGAGGTTAATGGAGTTGATATATCATATGCCTAGCTCTCTCTCTCTCTTTCATTAACTTTCACGGTTGAATGTTTTGATCTCTCGCTTTCTTTTTCCTTTCCTTTTCTCTATCTCCAAATAAAAAACATTAGGCGATTAGAAAAGTCATCGCTTTTACTTCTTTCTTCCGAGGGATATCATGATAATTGTAAATATATAATTTTTTTTTCGTCAAAAGTAACACCGTAGGGGGCTTGTGTAAGACGGCAACGTACCTAAGGTGGTTTTCATAATTATACAAATATTGGGGATTTGTAATTAGACATTACTTCAAGGAGGTTCTCGTGATTTTCCCCTTCATTTTTCCTTTCAAAACATGACTCCTAAAGCCAAGGCTAATTTTGTTTTTTGGACATTTGGGGCCATGTGACAAGGTAAGTTGTGGGTCAATTAACCTTTTTAAATTCAGTTTTACACTTAAATTATTACATTTAGGTGGTGTTTTCAAAAGCTTATTTCAAAACAGAAGTTAGTGATTAAAAGGTATTGGGGGGTATTTGCAAAATATACTGGAAAATGAACTTAAATAGAAAATGCAGGTCCAGAGGTGCTTTTAGAAAAATAGGTTAAAGCAACTTATTTAAAGAGAAGCAAAATAATAGAATTCAATTCAAGATTTAAATTTTCAAATTATATAATTCATAAACGGAAAGTACTGAGTTTGTTGTGGTGGAGAAAAAAAAAGTTGTGTTATAAATAAAGAGTGATATACTTGGCATTACAAAAATAAGAGAAAGGACATTGATAGATGTAATTAATTATGAGGTATTTTTTTAGTAAATGATTTGTAATAGTAGAGAAAATGTAAATAAATTAATCAACTTAGTGTTTTCTTTCGAAAAAGACAAGAGATATTAATTATGATGTATTTGTTTTCTTTCGAAAAAACAACTGTTATCTTTATTTATGATTAAAATATGAGCTAAAAAGATATAAAATAAATATTCGTTTTTTGTTTTTCAAGACGTGTAAAACTTTTGTATCTTTCATTCATACGTCATATATTATATTCAAATGATTGCATACTAACATTCATGTGTGATATATTTCCCCATACAATTAAAAGATAATATTAAGGAAGTAAGTTTCTTTCCCCATGCAACCTATAGATAGAAGTAAATGCATGAACACTTTCGCAACGCACTTTGAAGAAACATAACAAAAATAAAAGATTGAAAAATATATAGCTAAAAGTTAACAAAAACAAAGAAATCTATTATCGTCTCAATTAATGCTATTTGCGATTGTCATGCTCATCTTCGAATCATGGCAACAAGCGTATCGTTTCATTTACAAGTGCAGAGAAGCTCTCTACAAGAAAATTAGTTGATCGTCAATGAATAAACTTTGAAACTATTTTTTCTAAACGTAGACGGTGGACCGGTGGTGTCGTCACCATGACATGTAATGTCTTTTAGGAAGAAAATGTATGTTCCTAAGTTGATGCCACTCGAAAGCATGACCAAATATTTGGTTCGCACATACTAATTACGAATGTTAGCATGGCTAGTATTGTAACAGGGAATAAATTACTTATTTTCCTTCGCGTGACACTGTTAGAATAATATGTGCCGAATACCCGATAAGACTTACGGCAGGAAAATGTATAAGTTGGTAAAAAAATACATGATCCACGGACCATGCGGATATGCGAACATGAATTCTCCCGGCAAGAAGGATGGTCTTTACACCAAGCGCTTTCCAAATAGATTTGTGCAACGTACTGAGGCCGATGATGAAGGATATCATTCGTATACAAGAAGGGAAGACGGGCGGACAGTAACGAAGAAGCAAACAATATTGGACAATGGGTACGTCGTTTCTTACAATCGTGCTCTACTGTTGAAATACAGAGCTCACATTAACATCGAGCTCTGTCAGAACAAATCGATAAAGTATCTGTTCAAATATGTCAACAAGGGCAATGATCGTGTTACAACTGCATTTTATCAGTCCCGTAATACGAATGACGGTGAACAAATACGCGCTGAGATAAAGATGTACTACGAGTGTAGGTATATTTCCTACTTGTGATGTTACTTATATTATCGTTAAGATGAATCTTTTTTTGACTTAATGTTTACTCCTGTATATATTCGTTTCTTTCACAATATAATATATATTGTTTAAACAATAATTCATGTTTACTTAAACTAATGTGAATTTCATTTTCTCATATATTTTTAAAATATTTTTGCTGGTACTTATCTGCATGCGAGGCCAGTTGGAGGTTGTTTGGGTTTGATATTCATTATAGAGATCCCCCCATGATTTGTTTGAGCTTCCACCTACCTGATTGTCAGGGTTGTGTATCACGAAAATCAACATTTACATAATATAGTCAATAGACCATCTACCAAACAAAGTATGTTCTTAGCATGGTTTGAGGAAAACAAGCGGTTTCCGTAAGCCAGATTAATCAAGTGTGCGGATTCACCACAAAAAATCGTTTACTATGATGAGTCTATGTGATGGGAGCCACGAAAAAAAAGGATTTTCGATCGGAAGACTTAATAACGTTCTCTCAGGGAAGGGAGAAGACTACTATATGAGGTTGTTGCTTAATATTCAAGTTGGTTGCTGAAGCTATGAAGAACTCAGAAGTGTGAATATGAATGTCTACGATACCTTTAGGGACGCATGCTACCTTTTGGGTTTGTTGCGGGATGACAAAGAGTACATAGAGGGTATAAATGAAGTAAGCAGATGGCCGAGCGCATACTGCACAAGATTACTGTTCGCTATTCTTTTACTGACGAATAATTTGAGCAGGCCTGAGTATATATGGGAAAAATGTTGGTCGGAGTTATCTGATAACATGATTTGTATACACCAAAAGTGCCATAATAATACATATATATATCTAATTGAAAAACCATAATTCATATACGATAATTGTCGTAACGATATAATTATTATTTGTATGTTTAAATAATCCACATTTTTGGTATTACATAGCATTATTTATAATTTGTGCAGCATTAACCTTCTGGGATGACAGCTTGAAGAATTATGCCCTCATTGAGATTGAGAAAATACTGTAGACCAATGGTAAGAGTTTACTTAATTATGCACCTATGCCTGTACCAATACAGTCAACGTTAGAAGACACATAGAATATGTTAATACTTGATGAATTGGATTATGACGTCTCTGAAATGCTTGTTGAACTTTAAAATTTCTTATCGTCGATAACACTTGACCAAAAAAAAGTTTACGACACGATGATGAATGCAGTGTCGAAGAACAGTGGATGTATGTTTTTCCTGTACGGCCATGGGGGCACCGGAAAGACATTTATTTGTAATGCACTTTCCGTCGTTGTTCGTTCTGAGAAGGTCATTGTCATTAATTCTGCCTCGAGCGGTATTGTTTCATTGCTCATTCAGGGTGGTAGAATAGCACATTCTAGATTTGGACTCTCGATAATTGTGCATGGGAGCTCCACTTTCAGCATCAAACAACAAAGTCCTCAAGCAGAGCTGTTGATTGAAGCAAAACTTATTATCTTGGATAAGACTCCGATGATGCATCGGTTTTGTTTTGAAGCATTAGACAGAACCTTGCGATCGATTTTGACTTAAGAAAAACCTTTTGGTGGTAAGGTTATCATTGTGACTTTAGACAGATATTACCTATTGGGCTTAAAGCATCGTGGCAAGACATCGTACATGCTACGATCAATTCATCACCATTGTGGAGAGAATGTCTTGTCATGAAGTTGCACAAGAACATGAGGCTTCAGTCAGACGCAACTTCGTCTAATGAAGATGAAATAAGAGAATTTGACGAATGGATTCTGAGAATTGAAAACGGAGAAGCTGAGATTACAAGGATGTTGAAGCCTCGATTGAAATTCCTGAGGACATGCTGATTCGAGATTCTGATGATGTTTTTTCAGAGCTCCTGCAGTTCGTGTATCTGGATTTGCTGAATAGCATTGCGAATCCTGATTTCTTTCAGGGATTTCTTTCATCGGAGGGCCATTCAGAGGCCTACAAACGAGAGTGTTATATATTTGAATGATTATCTGTCGTCGCTAATTGAAGAAGAGGAAAATGTTTACCTGAGCTTTGACAGTCTATGCGGGGACAAAGCCGGTTCGGAGATTAATGCAGAAATTTACTCGACCGAGTTTCTCAATACAATTTCGTGCTCTGGTCTTCCCCCGCATGAGCTGAAATTAAAGAAAGGTGTTCATGTCATTCTCGTTAGGAATATCGATCAAGCGTGAGGTTTGTGCAATGGAACTCGTCTCCAAGTTGAAAGATTGGGCATGCACATAATTAGTTGTAAGGTATTGTCCGGTAAGAATGTTGACAACATGGTATCTATTCCTCGTTTGACTTTGATACCTTGGAATTCCACATTGCCAGTTAAATTTCAAAGACGACAATATCCGGTGATTATATCATTTTGCATGACAATAAACAAAAGTCAAGGACAAACTCTCTCGCACGTTGGATTGTACATTCAAAGGCATGTTTTCAGTCACAGTAAATTGTATGTAGCGTTGTCTCGGGTGAAGAGTAGATCTGGAATAAATATTTTAAGTAAGGGCGAATCAGGTGAGTAGTCCAGTATTACTAGCAACGTCGTGTACAAAGAAGTAATCGATTAATTTATTTTTTATACGCTCACATATATATCAGTATTCTTTATCTACGTAACGTCTTCAACTTATATATTGAAAATGATGAAAAATAACAGGTTATTCGTCCTCTGATCGTATATCCGATTGTAGTTTCGTGGTCTTCTTTAACAATATTCAGATTCATGTACAAGACCTGTACATTGCATTGATTTCAGTTTGGCAGTTACTTGCTACATTTCAACGTGAATGGTGTTTAGAACATTGTCAGTTTATTTTTTATGCAACCTTTTTATTAATAAATTAAGATACGAATTTTTATTTTTTGTTCAATTGTATTCTTTACATTCTCGACATATTTTTTCTTCGTTGGTTTTCTACATTAACTCATTTTGATTTTTTTTAATTAATCCCCGTGCATCGCACGGGTGAATTACTAGTTATGTGAAAAAGATAATGTTAACGATATTTATTTTTATATATTATTTGTTAAAAATGGATTAGTTTTTTTTTTCTAAATTGTACTTATTTTCATTAAAAGAATAATCTAATATTTATGAGTGTCACGATTTTGTAGTATTTTTTCATTACAATTCGGTTAGTAGTTAATTTTATCTGTTAAGAAATTATGAGGTAAAATTAATAATAAAATTACATCATTCAGTTATGATAGGCGTCGGAGTTACCAAACAAACTTATATATTCAGTATTCAACATTCAGACAATACTCTTAACAGTTCAGATGTGTATTCAGTATTCAGCATTCAGTGTTTAATTCTATCAAACAAAGCCTTAATCATGCTTCCGTTTTGAAATGTATTTAGAAACTATAGTCCCCAATCTATGCTTACTAGAGAGACGTGAGAACGGTAACAATTACATGGGTTGGGCTTACGTGTGGAAATCTGAATTGAAATTATAGGTTCGAATCCTGCCCCTTCTCCCACTTTTTCAATTTGTAGCAGAATTTGAATCAACTAATTTCTATTTCTTCGAAGAAAAAAAAAAAATCAATGGCAACATACGAAACCCATGATTTCGGTTTGTTCCAAAATAAAAGTAAACATAGATCGAAATCGGTAGAATTCACGAATTCCAGTTTTTCTTGACATATATTATAAATATATAATAAATATTGATATTATAATTATCATTTTCGGAGTACAAACATATTTTTTGGAATTATTTTCAAAAATTTATTGGATCAAAAATTTAAATTTTCAATCGAGAAAATAAGTAAATAAATCAATTTTTTTTTTCAGAATTTAGAATAAACAATATTGTTTGAAAATCAAAATTTTCAGACTGAAATGGGATAAATTGGAAAATTTCATTCCAATTTCCTACTACCTAGCAAGCTAGTTGCGTGACATAAATTGTTAGAATTGCCTTCATAAGTTGGAGATTAGATTAATATTTATAACATGTTAAACATATAAGTTTTTTCCGCAGAATACTAAAAATGGTAGTAATTAGGGACACTAAAGATAAGAAGGTGTTTGTAAAAGTTTATGTAAATGTAAAAGTTAGTGAATTTGAGTAAATCTCAATTAATCAACTTTAGATTATTAATTTAAAAGTTGTAGTTGAAAACAACTCTATTTTTTCCTCAAAAAGAAAAAAAAAAAATATTTCTTTTTTATTTTTTCTTTTAAATATCTTAAATTAGTGTCATTAAAACAAGTCACATTTTATAGAAATGAAAACTTAAAGGTTAAAAGATAGTACAAATACATTTTATTAACATTAAATTTCGTCACCTAAAATTTCAAAAAACAATTTGAAGTATAAACTAATTTTAGAATATTCTATAACTTGTTAATTTATATAAACAAAATAAACTTATAAAAAATCTAAAATGCAATCCTTTATTTGGTAACATTAATTCTTATAAGGATCAAACTAAGATGGCTTGAAATGATATCCAACCGAATTTTGACAAACCGTGTGACATGCATTTTACAGTTAGGAGAGGTTTAATTTTTTTTTTACATATATAAGTAATATACCTAATTGGGCCAACCCAATGGGTCCACGATTTCTTTATCTATTGGGCCACGAGCCCAATTCTGAAGACCACTACGACGAAGTCCCAACCACCTTCGAATAAGGTTTGGGTCCGACAACCTCAATTAATTAACTTTGGCCTAATGAACAAGGTATAAATAAGGATTTTAACTCATTTGTTAAGGTACGTTGTATAATTATTCAAATACGACTTCCAGCATTCTCTCTACAACTATTGCTATCCACACGCCTGACTTGAGCGTCGGAGGGTTTTCCGCCGGATCAACCTCCGGCTTAGTTTACGTGTTCTTTGATCAACATGCATCTCGGGACCATCAAGCTTGTGAGTCAGTGAGACACCTTGCTCTTCCTGCTCATCCTACCTCAACTATTTTAGGCGATCTATCTATAGCATCATCAATAAGATAAATTCAAAACGTTCTTTAATCAGCAAAAAATAATACAATTTCAATATAACACTCTTTCCTATTTTTTTAGCCTAGCTGTAGGCCGCAGTAGCCGTCTATTTCTCCAATTTCTCTTCTCCTATCTCTCTTCTCTCCACAACCCACGCCCCGCCGGACGACAAAACCTTCTCCTCCATCCTTCCTCCTCCTCAGCGTGACCTACCACTCCACCGCCTCCCCAGCATCACCGGGGTCATGGATCGCCTCCGCATGTGTTGTCGCTCTCAAGTGCCTCCTCGTTAAAACTACGCTCAAATTCTGGATCTTGAGGCTTCATGAGTTCGATGAACTCATATTCATATGTCATTAATTTTGTATTGAGAATATTTTTTAGTGGATTTCGGTAAGTTTGTAGTTGATTTTAATATTAAAGCGGATTACGTTAATTTTCTAGTCAATTTTACGTTAATTTCATAGTGGTTTTTGATAAACTTATAGTGGTTTCGATGAGTACATATAGTGAATTTTAACTTTTGAGTAAACCTGAACCATTTCTAAAAAATAACTTAAATAAAATAAAAAGCAGAAATAAAAATAAATAACCATTTTCTTAAATCTAAATTAAAAAAACCATTTTATTCTAAAAATAAAATCGGAAATAAAAATGAAAAAAATTAAAACTCAAATGACGTGAAATTTATATGGTATGAAAAAAATTAAAACTCAAATTATATATATATAATCCTTTATTAGATAACACGAGTCTCTGTATAGTATGAATAAATTTAAAAACAAAAACAGAAAATATATAACTTTCTCTAATATTGAAGAAAGATTTGTTTTCTAACTTCCACAAATGTATCTAACAACCACAACCACCTCCTCCACAGCCACCGCCACACCCTCCGCCTCCACAACCACCACCACCGCCACATCCACCGCCGTGACCACCACCACCGCCACACCCTCAGCCGTGATGACGGCGTTTCTTCCGAGTATTACCGGAGCCATGATCGATGCAAGCAAATATGAGCACATACATGATTGAAATGGACAAAACAAACACGCCAAGCATTGACATGAATCTTGCAGAGCCCTCAAACATAAAATATGTCTCACTTTCCCCAAAAATCCCAATACCTAAAACTCTAGTCATCTTATATACCATGGACAGTATATCTTTTGAGAGGATATATAGCTTACATGAATATAATGAGTGTATATATATAAGGGGTATATTTATTATTTAACATAGGTTAATTACAAGACCTCTTTGAGAAAACCCCTCATTACTTTTTTTAATGGAGAGAGGCCCAAAATATTTCTCTCCATTTGAGAAAAGCCCACACTCATTTTCAGCCATTATGTTTTCCAGCTTTGCCCCCGCCCGCCACATCATCACTGAGTCACACACTCATTTTTTGTTTTGTTTTTTTCTTGTTTTCTGTATCGATTTCCTTAATCGACTATGAAGCATAGTCGATTAAGGTAAATCGACTATGAAGCATAGTCGATTAAGGAATTTTTTTTCTTTTTTCTTTTTCTATATAAGGTATATTAATCGACTATGATGAAGCATAGTCGATTAAGAATCTGCTACTAAACATAACAAACCACAACTGAAAAAAAAATGTTGTATCAACTATATTTTACAAAGAATAAAATTATATAAACATTATAATTGATTTATACAATTGGAATCAATAAACAAAAAATCCAAAAAAAAAATAACAAATTAGAGTCGATCAACCTTAATCGACTACCAGAGCATAGTCGATTAGCTTAATCGACTATTGCACATGTACATAGTCAATTAAGGTTCCAGCCTGCGCGAATTTCTCTACACGCGCCGTCCTCCACCCGATCCACCAAAAAAACCCTACATTTGTTTCCCCATCGTCACCACAACCCCATCACACTACACATCTGCATCCCACGCCATCGCAAATGATTATTATTTACCAATAAAATAGACGAAAATCATAGTTGATCTATAATTACTTTAATGCAATGGGAGGCAGGGACAAGGCATCAGGTAACACTAGCTGGTTTCGAACCAGACAAAAGCAACTGGGGCTGGAATTGGTTGGAGAGATGGATGGATGTTCGCCCTTGGGAAACCTGCCACAAGTATTTCAAATGGGAATGCTCCTTCTCCTTCAATCCAGAACGAGAAAAGGGTTGTGTCCAATTCTGATGGCTGCAGCAGTTCTTAACCTAATATGTCGGTCAATGTTCGTCGGAGCAGTATTTAATGGCGCCGGCCGAATTCTGATCGAGAAGAGAAGAAACAGATCGAAAAGAAAAAAATAGAGAGAGCGCGAGAGAAGAGAGAAGCGAAGAGAGAAAAAGAAAAGAAAAGAATAACAGCTGCGTAAGATGAGATGTCAAAATTTAGGGTTAGGAGTAAGGGTATAATTGGAAGATTACCTTTATTAATTATCCAAGCTAACAACAAAAAGGTTTTCTCTACTTATTTTTGAGAAGGGGGTTTTCCTTAACTATATTTCCTAGATGTAGGGGTTCTTGCTAATTTTCCCTAATTACAAATAACCCTTAAATCATATCTAAATAGTGATGATTTTGTTTATTTGTATAATTACAATTATCCTCTTAAATCGGTGGACTTCAATAATCCTAACAAAACTATGAAATGTCTAAATTGCCCCTAAATAAAAAGAAAAAAATACTAGAAAATTTAAGGGTAAATAACACTTAATCATCTATGATTACAAGCTTTTGCAGATGACCCCCTTTAGGTCCGTAATATCAGCACGTAATATATATATATATATATATATAAATAATAATAATTTACGTATTTGATAATCCATTTGATATTTCATTGGAATTATTTGATGTTATTAAATGGGTGTTGATAAATGCATGACGCGTTTTAGTAAATGTAGGACATTTTATTTTAAAAATTCTAATTCTAATATATATACATCTTATTTTGTTAAATCAATTTTTAGAAGTTTTCAACGACATTATTTTGAGAAAATGTTACAAAAATATTTCTAGTAAACATAGACTATTTATTTAAAAATTCAAAACCTGTATGTATCATCTTATGTTTTTCAAACTATATTTTGACGTTATTTTGGAAGAATGCCACACCATTAATCATCATCATTAATCACCAAGAACCCGGGATTTATCGGCTTTGGAGAATGCTACGGTTGAAAGTGAGGTAAAATTTTAGTTTTACTCAATATCGAATATTAAAGACAAATGAATTTAGAATCCATAAATAGAGATAAAAAAAAAGGGGAAAATTAGAGAAAACCCCCCATCTAGGAAACAACCACTCCCAAAAATAATTAGAGAAAACACCCTAACCTAATATTCCACCCATGTGATATTTTTATAATTCCAAAACTATCCTTAATTGTCTATTATAATTTTTCAAAACCCTAATCTTATTTTTAATTTTATTCCGCCGCGTTTGTCTCTTCTTCTCTTATCTGTTTTCTCTCTTCTCTGTTTTCTTCTCTTTTTTTTTTCTTTTTTTTTCTCCAGCAATCTTCTTCCCGTCGTTGCCGTCGCCGCCGCCGGAAGATGGAGAAAGAAAGAAGAGGAATCACTCGTCGTCGGCGTGTGGAGGAGAAACACTGTCACTAGGCCAAATCTTAAGATTGGCGATGTTTTTTTTCGCGACGAAAACAGTTTCGTTGCAACATTGCGACGTTAATGAATAAATATCGTCGCCAGCTCTCCAGGCCACCAATTTTGAAAACGGTTGCGACGAAAATCCTAGATTCGTAGCAAACAATTCTAATTTGGTTTTTTTATAATTCACTATTGCGACGAATTATATGTTTTCGTGACAAAATATTTAAACATTATTTTATTTTATCTTGTTTGCCACGAAAGTGTGTAAATCGTCGCAAGCTATTACTAAAAATAATTTTGTGGCGACGAAAACATGTGAATCGTCGCAACGTATGCAATTAAAACTTTTATTTTTATTTTATGTGCGACGAAATGTCAAAATCGTCGCAACATACCACCAAAAAGAAGTTTTTAATCAATTTTACTTGCGACTAATTACAAGTATCATAGCAACCTACAATCGAAGAGCATCTTAGTTGCGACGAATTGGTATAATCGTCGCAACGTATATATTATTTTATTTGCCACTAAAATTTAAAACGTCGCCATCTACCCTAAACTAAAATTTACTTTATCTTATGTGCGACGAAATTATGGGATTCGTAGCAAGGTTTATTTATAAAATAAATATCTTAATGAATTGGCAATGAAAATCTTAAACCCTCCGTGGACACAACTTTATTTATTCCCCTAATCCTCTCCGTTTCCGCCGTTGCCCTAATAATTTTCTCTCTCTCCTCCACACTCCCTCCCATTTCCCGTCAATGTCGCCGTCGATTAGGTCGACGCTGCCAATCTTCGTTGCCCATGTTTACTCCCGTTGGCACCGCCGTCATTGCCCATGTTCCCTCCAGCCGTCGTCGTTACCAAATTTCATTCCCGCCGCTGTCGTTGCACGAGACCACGCCCCTGCAGTCACCGGCCGTTGTCTTCGTTTTCTAGTCGCCGCCGCGGCGCTCAGCTAGATGCCGCCCACTATCTATGATGCCCAGCCCCCTCAAAAGTTGTAGGTATAAATTCGCCTATTTATGAGTTAAATAGCAAGCAGCTATGCAATTCTAATGTCTTAACTTCAGTAGGACTCTTTGTCCATATATCCGACAATTTGTATGATAATGTAATAATTGACTAATTTTTAATTTAGCTTTCGTATTTCAGGAGTTGAAATAATTTGTATTAGGTTGTCTTGTCTAAAATGAGAATCATATGCGATGATTATTTGGTAAAATCATTTTAAATGAATGGGTATTTGGTAGAGTTTTATTTGGTGCCCTTAATGTTAGATGATTATTTTTCTTAACTTATGTGTCCATTTCTCCTTTTGCTCGCAGGTGTTTATATGATGAAGATTCAGTAATCTTTGTAAGTGTTTCGTATTTCTTATATATGTTTGATTAGGGTGTTTTGTATTGGTAGACCCAGTTAAATTAGTTTGGATCCTAATTTAACATCTTTTGGTTATATACTCAGCAGGGATGTCTGCTAGATACAATGCCGTTTACTGATGTACTTCCTCAATTTAGAATGAAATAGTGGCAAGTTATCGTTGTTTTGTTTCTTGATTCTCTCTGTCAGTAGAAGAATTCTCTTGTCCAAGGTACCTCACTATTTATGGTTTTACTGAGATTGTCTTTTTTATAAGTTGCTTTCTTGAATGGAAAGTATTGTTTACTTGCTCTGCTTCAAGATCTAATTTCCAGGAGAACGTGATTATAAGTGGTAATTTAAGCATGTTACTTCTCTGTAATGCGTGGATAATGAGGATCCCGATTCATTTTTGCCTAATGATTAACTCTGTGATTTCTTTTTCATAATGAAAGATGGTAAAATTTGGGGGGGGTTTTATAATTCTTTCTGTAAATTATACATTTTCTATGAATAAGACAGTAAATTATAGGCAATAGGCTTTGTTGAATATGCATCATTTGCTTTGTTAGCAGTTTCTTCATGTTAGATAGTAGTTGCTGATATTGATCGATGTAATGGATCATCTCTCCATGAAAAGAGAGGAGTGTGTTGGCAATAAGTGAAACTAAAAGATTGGTTTTATTGTGATTGTGAATGGAATAAATTCAGCAAATATGTCTTCTTTTTCTTGTGTGTACCGTGAAATATAGAGTAGTTTGTGATTATAAATTCACGGTGCACAAATTCAGCATTATATGCTTCTTTGGTTTATTTTTATTTTTTTATTTTTTTTATATATATATATTTTGAACTTGCGCTTGTTCGTATTATACGTTATGCTTATATACTTTAACATCTTTTTCAGGCGCGCTTGGAAAGAATATCAAGTGGATAACTCGAAGAAATTTTGGACTCCTAGCTCGAGCATTCGAGACTCCAAGTCACGTGTTTCATCCACCGCCAACTGCTTTTAATAAATGGAAAAAAGAAGATGGATCAAGTACTTTATGTAATGCTACAATATTTTTATTAATTTTTGTATACTTTCAACTTTATTTGGATGTATTTAACCTAATATTATAATTCTAATGTGATTTGTTATTTGATCTAATAGTTAATTGTGTTATTATAATTGATAATTAATTACAGGTTAATTAATATTTTATTATTAAGCGTAGAAAAATTTGAAAAAATAAAATTTCTACGTTTTTTGAAAAATAAAAAACGTAGAAAATTAGTGGGTAAATTGTTGCGACGAAATAATAAAAACGTCGCAAACTAATGGATAAATAATTGCGACGCCAATATTTTTTTCGTCGCAATTTGCTACAAAACAAAGGAACCCAGAAAAATGAATTATTGCGACGAAATAAGCATTCGTCGCCAAATGTTGCGACAAAAATGACAATTCGTCGCAGGCTTAGACCGCTTTGGCGACGACTTTGTGGCCGCCTTTGCGACGATCATTGTTCGTCGCAATCATTAATTTTTCGTCGCGAATACCATGTTTTCGTCGCTACATTTCGTCGCCGGTGTCCTGTTTTGGCCTAGTGTGTTCTTTCTCAACATCATGTCCCACCCCCGTCGGCGTGTGGAGGAAGAAGAAGAGGAACAAGCTGTTGAGAAAGAAGAAGAATCACTCGTCGGAGGAGGAGAATCAACGGAAATTGTTGATGAAGGTATTTTTTTTTACCTTTATTATTTTTTAGTGTTGGTTTTGTCATGTGCTCAAAAATTGTTTATTGAGTGACCAACGATGGTTGACGTTCCTTTGGATCGTTCTTGTTTTTTTTTTTTTTTTTTTTTTTGTGGATATTGAAATGCTAATTTGTGTTTTTATTGCATGAATTATTTATTTAATTCTTAAAAAGGATTGGTTGAAATTGTGTGGTACGACGGTGTGGTGACGATGGGGAAGCAGATTTAGGGTTTTTTGGTGGATCGGGCAGAGGACGGTGCGTGTAGAGAATTTCGTGCAGACTGAAACCTTAATCGACAATGTACATGTTCATAGTTGATTAAGTTAATCGACTATGTTCTGGTAGTCGATTAAGGTTGATGGACTCTAGTTTTTTTATTTATTTTTTTTGGATTTTTTGTTTATTGATTTCAATTGTATAAATCATTTATAATGTTTTTTTATATTTTTTGTTTTTGTAATATGCAGTTGATTTTGCATATTTTTGATGTTGTGATTTGTTATTTTTAGTAGCAGATTCTTAATCGACTACGCTTCACATCATAGTCAATTAATATGTTTCACTAACTCCAATTTTTAATTTTTTTTGGATTTTTTGTTTATTGATTACAATTGTATAAATCAATTATAATGCTTGTATATTGTTTATTTTTGTAAAATATAGTTGAATTTGCATTTTTGTAGTTGTGATTTGTTATTTTTAGTAGTTCGTTCCTTAATCGGCTATAGTTCATCATAGTCGATTTAATATGCTTCATAGACGATTAAAATGCCTCATAGAGAAAAAAAAGTTAAAAAACAAAAAAAAAAATTAAAAACAAATTAAATTTTTTTTTTTTTTTTTAAATAATAATAATATTAAATAAAAAATAAAAAATTAAAAAAAAGACACGGTCATAGGGATAGTGGGTTGATGGGTCATAGAGATGTGTAAGGTGGAGGGACATAAATGGAAAAATGGGTGGCTGAAATTTGGAGTGGGTTTTTCTCAAATGGTGCAAAATACTTTGGGCCTTTCTATATTAAAAGAAAAGTATTGAGGGGTTATAACAAAGAACCCTGAGGAAAAATAGATGATTAAGAGGCTTGCTAAGTAACTATAATTTAAATTTACTATTTTTAAATTTTTTATACAAAATAAGATAAAGAGCCCCGAGAAAAAATAGATGATTAAGAAGCTTGCTAAGTAACTATAATTTAAATTTACTACTTTTTAATTGTTTATACAAAATAAGATAACAATAGAGTGGATAGATCATTAAGATTTAATATACTTCATAGTCGATTATCATGCGTCGTAGAGAAAAAAAGTTAAAAAGAGTTAAAAAAAATTAAAAACAAATTAAAAAAAATTAAATTTTTTTTTTCTAAAATAATAATAATATATAAAAATAAAATATAAAAAATAAAAAAAGAAAGACACGGTCATAGGGATAGTTGGCTGATGGGTCATGGAGATGTGTAAGGTGGAGGGACATAAATGGAAAAATGGGTGGCTGAAATTTGAAGTGGGTTTTTCTCAAATAGTGCAAAATAGTTTCGGCTTTTCTCTATTAGAATAAGTATTGAGGGGTTATATCAAAGAAGCTCGAGAAAAAATAGATGATTAAGAAGCTTGCTAAGTAACTATAATTTAAATTTACTATTTTTTAATTGTTTATACAAAATAAGATAAAAATAGAGTGGACAGATCATTAAGATTTTTATATACTTCATAGTCGATTAACATGCCTTATAGAGAACAAAAGCTAAAAAAACGAAAACAAAATTTAAAAACAAATTAAAAAAAAATTAAAAAAAAAAGTAATTTTTTTTAAAATAAGAATAATATATATATATATATAAAATAAAAAATAAAAAAATAAATAAAAAAAGAAAGACACGGTCATAGGGATAGTTGGCTGATGGGTCATGGAGATGTGTAAGGTGGAGGGACATGAATGGAAAAATGGGTGGCTGAAATTTGAAATGGGTTTTTCTCAAATGGTGCAAAATAGTTTGGGCTTTTCTCTATTAGAATAAGTATTGAGGGGTTATATCAAAGAAGCTCGAGAAAAAAATAGATGATTAAGAAGCTTGCTAAGAGCAACTCCAATGCTAGATATTAAAATTGAGTTATCAAATACTCATTTGATATTTGAGAATTATTTTAATATTAATTTAAAACTTATCTACCCCAACCATGGTTATCAAATTAATTATCAATTAAAAGTTTATGAGTGATTTTATTTGTAATTGCCACGTGTCAACTTCCGATTGGATGTTTAAGAGGTTACATTTTTTATAACTTAATTTCCAGCAAGTGTTTTTACAACCCAAAAAGTGAATTATCAAAACGGAATGACTATAACAAATCCCAAGTTTTTCTCACTTCAATACCAAAAAAATAAAAATTGAATACTAAATAAGTAATGACATAAATACCCTTAATGAAAATAAATACCATACAAATATTAAAAATCTCATTTTTCTTTCTTCAATACAAACACACAAAATCCCTCAAACCCATCTTCTTCTTCACAAATTCCTCAACCTCTTCCTTCTTCTTTCTCACAACAAACCCTTCTAAAAAATCTCAAAATTACTAAAGAAATTAAAACCTCACAAAACTTATAAAATGGAGTTATAAGACAATAATATGGTAGTATATATGGAAGGAGAACACATTAAGGTAAGTATCGATGTCTTACAAAGTCGATTTTGAAGTTTTTTTTTTTGAAACCCGCCGGGAATTTTTGGCACATACAGGTCGATTTTTGGGTCAATTTTCGACACCAACGTGTCGAAAAATATATTTAGAAAAAAATAAAAAAAAAAAACAAATTTCGACACATACCTGTCGAAAATTCTCCCAATTTCGACAGGTGTGTGTCGAAAAACACTATTGGTAAAAAAAAAAAAATTCTATTTTTTTTACCAACAGTGTTTTTTCGAGTTTCGACAGGTAATTGTGTTTTTATATTTTTCGACACGTTGGTGTCGAAAATCGACCTGTATGTGTCGAAAATTGCCGGGCGGGTTTAAAAAAAAAAACTTCAAAATCGACTTCGAAGCTAAAAAAAAAAATGGATACATACCTTAATGGGTTCTCTTTCCATATATACCACCATATTATTGTCTTATAACTCCATTTTATAAGTTTTGTGAGGTTTTGATTTTTTGATTTGGAGAAGATAAAGAAGATAGGGTTTAAGGGATTTGAGTTTGGGGAGAAGAAGAGAGGATTTGTTTTTCTTTTTTTCCTTGGTATTGAAGTGAGGAATAAAAAAATTGTTTATATAAATTGTCTTTTTTGGTTGATGAAGGGCATTTTGGTACTTTGCTAACAAATTTTTTTATTTATGGTTTTAAACTAAGAAAAAGTTGTAAAAACTTCTATAAAATATGGTTTTAAACTTGGAGGTAGGGGTGGTTTCGGAACGGTTGCCGAATATTTTGATCAATACCGTGTACCTACCGAATTATATGGTATTGAAAAATTCGATACCGTTACCGTACCAACAAGTGCGGTATACCGTTATTTGGTATACCGTTACTTTCGGTACGGTATATCGGTACATGGTAACTCTACCGTTAATTTTAATTTGTCACTTTGAAGACGATCTTTATAAAAACACAACACTTTAAAAAAGAAGATTGGCTATTTATATGATCATATTCAATTTTTTAAAGCTCCTTGAATATTTGTCAAACTTCAACTTCAATGATTTAGCCACACCTTGCAAAATAAGATTACTAGAGTCATGATTTTTTTTTCAATCTCAATTTGCAGCTGTACTATTTCAGTGAAAACCAAATGGGATGTACGTTTTTTTTTGTTGCACTAAACTTCAATGTTGTCTCATAAATTTTTAAGAACTGTAATTCAATTTTTAAGTTTTGATCTATTTATTTTATGTAGTAATTTTAATTTTAGTTAATTACTAACCAATATAAAATAAATATATATTAATTAAATTGTAAATTTCAAATTTGCGGTACGGTACGGTATTACCATGGTACTGAAAATACAATACCGCTACCGTACCGTAGGATAGTGGTACGGTACCAATACCGTACCAAATGTAGTGGTTACCGAAGTTTCGGTAATTTTTCGGTATTGTTTGGTAGGTATACCGTAGTATTCGGTAGGCGGTAATTATTTTCCAGCCCTACTTGGAGGTATTGAAGTGAGAAAAAAATGGGATTTGTTTTAGTTGTCCCCTTATCAAAATGGAAACCTCATTTGATAAATGGGGAAATTTGCTAGACACCCCTAGTTTTGGACTTATATAGGTAAAGATCCATTTCATTAGATGAATATAGGTATAGGTCCTTTAGTCAATGAAATTAATTTAAATAAAATAAAACTATTAGTATATACCCATAAATACCCTCCATTAATATTTATATGAAAATAGTTATTTATTTAA